ATTGACAACATAAACTGGGAAATTAAAGGAGCATGGTAAATTACACCAGACGGATGCAATCAGCTAAATTTAGAGACTGGGAAATTCTACAGGACAAATTATCCACATTCTTTAACAAATATGTGGCTTGTTAAAGGGGTAAAGTGAACCTGTTAGAGATTAGAAGAGATCTCTCAACCTAACACAAATATGTGACTTTATTGAGTTCTGCTTCAAACAAAGCAAATGTAAAACTATATTTTTTGAGACGCAATGAAGAAACTGAACATGTACTGCTTACTGGATGATATTAACGAATTATAGTTAATCTGGGGATGTAATAATAAAATTATGGTTGTATTTTTTCTGTTAACACACCGAAGTATTTTTGGGTGAAATAATATGTTTGGAATTTGCTTTATAATTACGCCAGAAAAAAAGTAAGTGTGGATGGCGAATAGACGAAGCTAAAATTGCAAAGTGTTGATAATTTTTAACCTGGGTGATAGATATGTAAAGATTCATTATAACAGATTCTGGTTTTTTATGTCTGAAAATTAAAATGATAAATTTTAATAAATAATTGGGTTAATAAGCCTATGTAGAATATAGAAGACCATATTGCCTAGTACCTACAATATGCCTATGGAAATATTTTAACTAATTTGTAAATCATAATATAATGTCTGTGGATTCAGGTTACCTAGGTATAAATTCTGGCTTTCCTGCTTGCTACCTGTACAACCTTGAAAAAGTTGCATAACCTTTCTAAACCTCAATTTTCTTAGCATTTTAATGAAAATAATGACTTTTAATGAAAGTATTGACTTCATAGAGGCACTATGAGGTATAACAAATAACCCATGTGAAGTGTTAGCATAGTGCATGGCCATAATAAATCTCTAATAAAGGTTAATTGCTTTCATTAATCTGTAGTCTCAGGCTCCACTTTAAAAGAGGAGAAAACTAATGAAATTACCACTTGTAACACATAAAATTCCAAGCTGGATATAATCTTCAGAAATCATCTTGTATCCTCTGACAATTTACAGCTGAAGTCACCAGAAAGAGGAATGGAATAGAGACTATTTTATTCACATGGAATAGAGAAGATGCCATAGGACCTATTTTCCATCTCTTGGATAATGTATTTCTCTGTTTCTCCCTCTGGACCCTGCCTTCCCCTAACTCACATATTATTTAAGTTTATAAAGCAAAACTATACACAATTATTTTAAAATGGTCTGACAGTGCAGAATATAGACATATTTCTTTATACTTTGTACATTATAATTACTTCACACCGTACTGCAAGAAGTAGTATTTATAAATAAGAAACTTCGGGAACAAAGATATTATACCAATTTGAGAAAGTAATTTCAATTATGTACAAATCATTAAAATAATAGTCATTTATTATTGTTAAGTATCTATTACTGTAATTATGTTCCAGGTTTTCCCTCATGAGCTCAAAATGCTTTTCAAATCTATTGAACTCTACTCTCTAAGCCTTTCTAAGCCTCTTCATCGCACAGTACCTCTGTTATCCAGCACACTACCAAACAGTGTTCTTTGACATTTATGTTAAATGTCACTTCCATTATATTCATTAATACCTAGAGTCACAAAATGCACAAAAATGCACCTAGGGTTACAAAATGCACAAAATTGTCTTAACAGCAATCACCTAAAATCTATAAGTTTAAATCTATCTATTTCTAACATAAAACTTTTTAATTTAGAAAATGTGAGTGCACCTACTTGCAGACAAGATTTTTTTTTTTTTACTGTGAAGAAAAAACATCATAGGGTCCTGATGTGCTTAAGAATTTACAGATTTCTGAATTATCAAAGAAACATTACCTATTGTTCAATCTATATTTATTAAGTACATTTTATCATAGTCTAAATATTTAAAACTTTGGAATTTGGCAGCTCTCTAGTAACATAAACATATTTTAACATCTGAAACAGTCAATTTTGTAATATGCTTAATAGAATAGAGCTTGCCATAGAAAAATGTATACTTAAGAAAATGCCACCATTTTTCAAGACCTTTGGGCATCATGTAAGACACTGCACTGGCAGTTAAATGGAAATTGTTAAAGCACTTTCTATGTGTAGCAAGTCTGAATGTGAATTAAACATTAATTCATCATTTCCTATACCCTACTAATATTCCTTTGATATATGTAGGAGCCACGGTTTGTTTGGAAGTATAAAAAGAAAAGTAACTAGAATTATTCCATTTATGTGACTAATAAAGTGACATATACTGAAAAAAAATCAAACCACTCTTCTGATTTTATAAAGGTTTGTGGTCAACATTACTTGAACATTACCCATAAAGTCTTGATTTGGACATACTGGGGATGGTTGTTACATGGCTGTGGCTGCAGATAAAATATCGAACTCTCTATAGGTGTTCGATACATAAATATACAAATTCAATAAACACATACATGAAAGCTAAAGTATCAATAAGGAAATCCATTCCCAAGATGCTTTGAAAAGCTCAGTGAGTGCATCGGGTAAGGAGTATGGAAAGGCTCATTGAAAAGCAGAGCTTTAAGGTAATATACACATTCTTGAAATTTCTACTTAAAAACTCAGTTATCTCAGTATTTTACTTGTATATACAGGCCAGTGGATATCTAAGCAAAACTATTGCAGGGGACAATTCTATTTGTGAATGCTAAAAATACATAATCCATACCACTGCAAACTCTGGATACAATCAAAAAAGTATACATAGTGTTGATAATATATTCCAAAAAATAGCTTTAATAAAGATATAAAAGGGATGACTGTTGAAGTGCAACTTAAATCACTTACTCATTGTGTAAGGAAAATGACAAACAAGTTAACTATGAAAACTGAGAACAGGCATCAGATTTATGTTGTTTCATAGCAGTATTTCAAATGATTTTTGAGATTTTTCTTAAGTGTGTTACCATGCAATTCTAATTGAATTGACCTTTCTTCCATATACTTACAACAACATTTTTATGATAACCATGCAACTAATGCTTAATTCCTCATGCAAATTTTGAAAGATATTATTATTAATAAAGGTATATCAAATCTTAAATATTTAATATATTTCTTCTTCTAATATTAATGCCAGATTTATATTATTATAAAAAGAAAATAATAATTATATTGTTATTTCAGACAACAATGAGAGCCAATGTGTGTAATTAAGAAAACAGGAAATTCACATTCACGGTCTTGAATTAATAAGGTTTACTATATATACTTTTCAAATACATCAAATTTACATTGAGCTTACATTGCATTTTAATTGGATATGTTTGGATGGAAAAATAAAATATATCAATGATGATACCCTTCCTAAATACATCCACAGACTAATCAATTCAAGAATTTACAGTAGACAGCCTATAAACATTATCCACCTATCTTTTCTTCTCTAGAGCTAGCTCCACCCCTACCCCAATGCAGGAGATCCAGCTGAGACAATTAATAGCAGAACACTTCAGTAATTCAGGTGCAGTTCACTTTTAAAAGGCAAGTCAAAACCCAAAAATTTTAAAAAGTTATATTATAATTAAAAATCACTTTAAATTTTTATAATATATTTTGATATCCTATTTCAGAGTTTATTTGACAACTGATTCTTGAAAAGACATCTCTTACATTCAATCAATTGTAACTTTCAAAAGATTCCCAATCTTGTATTTGGGATATATTTTGTTCATTTACTCATTTTAAACTTACAATCTGTTTTAATTTTAATTCTTTCGTTTCATGTTCTGAATGCCTTCATATTTTTTTCTGGCTATGAAATTAACAGATACATGCTACTAAAAATATAGAAAACTATGGAGAATAATACAAGAGTCAAATAATCTTATCACCTAGATAAAACTGCAATTAACTCTTGGTGTATGCATTGCCAGAATTTTCTATGCACAGATGTCGATACAGGTATAGAAATTATATTTTCTACAAAAATGATCAAGCTATACGTTCTATTATTCAAGCTCCTTATCCCACCCAACAGTGTACCACAGATACAGTTTCATATCTATATATACTGCACGTCTGCATCATTTTAACGACTATAATGTTCTAGCCAATTACGAACTATTAAAGTAGAGTTAAACTTTTAGGCCTCGATTCCTGGATGTTGTACAGAGAAATGAGCAATCTATCAATGAAATGCCTCTCAAATCAAGGACTGAATGATTGAGAAAGATGTATTCAATGACCAGTTACTATAGTTAATTCTTTTGTCCTGGGAGAAATATGCAACTACAGTTACTTCATACCAGTTAAAATAAGCAAAGCTTGAAGAATTTATTTAAAATTCTGTAAAATTTAATCAGAAGGATCCTCACCCAAAAAAAACCTCATGATGCAGATAAACACAAAATTCCTACTCAAACACGATACATAGTAAAAAATTATTTATAACAATATTCTTTTCTTCCTCTATTAGTTTTCCCTTTTTATGTTTTCCCTTTTCAAGATCTCTCTACTACTCTCTTTTAACAATTGTTTACGGACTTACAGCCAGCAAACCCCCAACTTATATTTTTTTCTCTATTGATTCTCTCCAGCAAAAACCAACTAAATACCTTTTAACACTAAATTCAGTTCTTGATAAACAATAAATAGCCAATGATAAATTATTGCACTTAACATGCATCTTTAAATAAAATAAAAATACAAACATGTACTTCCTGGGAGATAATATTTTAAAAACTTTTAGAAGTGAATAGGTTCATAGACAAAATTTATTTCATTAAGCTCTGTTCACTATTCCATATTAAACAATGCAGCCTGAGGGACTCACACAAATAACTTCAATTTTATTTTAGTTCTTTTATGTTTTTCTAAGAGGTAATGCAAGGCAAAGAAAACTACCTTTTAAAGGGAATGGACTTTATTCTGCAATTTTTCTGTGATACTTCTTTACACAGATTGAAACAGCACATACATGCACACACACACACACACACACACTTACAGGAAAGATGTACTAGATGCTGTGTATATTAACTGACCTTGGCCTGCTTCTGCCAACTCAATGGCACGGTTTCTCTCAAGCTTTTCACAAACAAGTACAGTGCTTCTTTGATGTTTGATGTGGGATGGTCGTATTCTCCGAGCAAACTCTGCAGGTATCTGCTGTTGAAATACTCCAATCTGTTCAAGAAGCAAATAAAATACAAATTCCACCAATTGACTGCCATCTTTAGAACTTTTACATTTTAGTCAGATGGTCCCAGACCTGGTTCATAGACTGCATATTCCTAATTTACTTTGTTGAAATTTAATCTGTGGTAGGGAGAGAAAATACACATAGTAAATTCCAATTTAATTTCAAATATGTGCTTAAAAAGTAATTAAATATTTATGTTTATCCCACTAGAGCCAATCAGATGAAGAGAAAACACACCATGGAGAAGAAACCTTTGCACCAAAGACAGAAATATTGACCAAGCAGGGTCTACATTTCAGAAAAAGCTATGAAAGAAGAGGGCACTTCATACAATTACTTTCAAAGAATAGGGGGGAAATGGCATACCTTTGTTAAAAGTTTCCTTAAGGAACCCAAATTAAAACTACACAATAAACTCAAAAAATTAAAGAGAAATCATGTTAATGCACAGCTTCATAACACTTGAGTGAAAATGTTCAACTAAATATACATTTATGACCCATAACTTATATATTCTTTTTTTTTTAAAAAAGAATGCTCTGTAATATAAAGACTTTATTGAGGTTTACTTCTTTTGTAAATTTTTACATATTAAAAGGGATATTCTGATGCTCTAAAGATCTGATGACTTTTAGACTCTGAACTCAAGCTGTCAACCTGAAATATGCTAGGAAGATAGATGACAGCATTAGGCTCAGAAAAAAAAGACATACACACACACACACACACACACTAACAAAAATGAAAAACCAGTGTAGAACATTACAATAGCAATTTGTACCTATGGGGAAAAAAGCACTGGATCTAGAAATTTATGGGGCTTAATAGAGGTTATACTTTAAGGAAGGAGCATATTTATGTAGAAAAATGAGAGCAAGGGGAAGCGGAAGGAAAGGAAATAAACTAAATTTGTACAATAATGAAGTTTTCAAGGATTGTGTGGCTATACCACAGATAAAAGTCTTACCATGTAAAACCCCATGGAACATGCTCAAACAGAAAGTTAAGTCATTAGCCCAAAATCTCTGTGATAAAATTTTTAAAAATTGTTTTGCTGTTTGACTTAAGAAAGACAAAATAATGCTTATAAATACTCCCATTCTTGATGTGTATACTTTCCTTGTAATGAAAAATATGCATCAAAATCAAACACTTGGAAAAGGTCTATTTTGTTAGATTGTTTGCATTTATAATTAGAGGAATCTATTCTTTATTTATCAGAGTTTACAATAAAATTGCTTTGGGAAAGACAATTATCTTAATTTCTCTCGGTTTTCTGACCTTATAATTCACCTTATAAGACACCTCCCCTAGAAGATGACATAAAAGGATGCCTACAAATTATCAAGTCTAGCACTTGTTCCAAATGTTTGCTGCTAAAACCAGATCTTGTATTTGACGCAGTTCCTGTCAGGAATGTAGGCAGAAGCAACAGATTTTCATATATATTGGTATCAGGGCACTTAGAAATAAATTATAATTTAATAAAAATTAAACATTTGAATTTAAACACAGGACTGACTTTAGTATCAGCACACAAAAATGTCTTTTTTATAATTCACTGTCACTCATTTATTCATTCAAATATATTTATTAGGTACCTGCTCTGTAATTTAACAGGATAAACAAGATCTCTAACATCATGCAGTTTGTATTTTAGTAGGAGAGAAACATACAGTAAAAATAATATATTTTTATAATGATTATTTTTTAATTAAAAATAAAAAAATTAATAAACAGGATAAGCATTAAAATATCAGAGTTATGTGTTCTTCAGAGAATTACAGTCCACTAATATAGAGAATGATTGAGTAGAGAGGGGAAAACTCTCTGAGGAGACAAAATTAAACTAAAACTTGAATGACAAGAATATTCTGGGCATTAAAGGATCATGTAGAACATCCCAGGCAACAATAATATTATGCAAAGGCTTTAAGGTGGAAATGGGTTGTAATCAATGTGTTGAAGAAACAGACAAAATGACAATATGGCTGAAGTGTAGTAAATGACAGGGAGAATCATATGAGATGAGGCAAGAAAGTGTAGTAGCCAGTTGGTGCAGTGCTTTGTAAACAAGGTAAAAGTTTGAATATTTTTAAGCGGCAAAATATTAGAATGTTTACATAGGATAGTAATATGATTTGATGTAAACTCCCTTTCTCTGTATTTGTGCATAATATTCTCAAGAGAAAGGGGTGGCCAGAAATTTTATGGCACACTGTTTTAGTTTTAGAGTCTGGATTTTATATCAATCATGTCTCTCCTGGTGAAGGAAAGAAAAAGAAAGATTTCTGCCTTTGTTTTTAGCTGTCATCTGTTTCATGTCATATGGACAAATAAAGCTCAACTATTGCCAACAGAAACATGAAAAATAAACAGACACATTTGTTTCTTTTTTTCTATACATATACACAGGTATACTTTTGGCAAGTCCTCACTTGTCTTTCCAGTAATATTGTCCCCAGTGTCCTGATATATCTTCTATCCCAGCCAGCAAATGATCAAAGAACTGCAACAGAACAAAACACGTGTCTAAATATATAGCATGTATGAGGAGCTTGGTCAATTACTATCAAAAAAAAAGATACATCGAAGGCATCTTCAATATTGTTGATTTCATCTGATTTGCTTATTTTTTAAACTTAAGCTTTTTTCAGGGTATTTGTAAAAAGAGGCATCTACATCTGTATGTAAGGATATTGGCAATATCTCTAGTATAAGCATTTAAAATGCTCTATTTAAAATTGAGAATGGCTTGGCATGGTGGCGCACTTCTGTAATCCCAGCACTTTGGAAGGCCGAGACGGGAGGATGGCTTGAACCCAGGAGTTCGAGACCGGCCTGGGCAACATGAGGAGACCCCATGTCTACAAAAAATTTTCACAAAATTAGCTAAGAATGGTGGTGCATGCCTATAGTCTCAGCTACAGGGGAATCTGAGCTGGGATGGGAGGATTGCATGAGCCCAGGAGGTTGAGGCTGCAGTGAGTAGTGATAGCACCACTGCACTCCAGCCTGGGCAACAGACCCTGTCTCAAGAGTAAATAAATATAAAATTACAAATGTACATATTAATCATAATCATGTGATGGATTTATTCATCTACTGAAGATCTGGGCTTGGTACCATGGAAGAAACAAAACAATTCAACGGCATGGTCTCTGTCTTTGAACCAAACTGGAGAGGCAAGACAAAAAGTAGATAGAGATCAAGTTCAAACTTGGCATGTGTATATGTACAAGTGCAACAAGAAAAGGCAAATAAGGAATTTGTAAGAGATTTATGCAAAAGAAGGTTGGATAGATATGGGCCAAGGGTAGGGAAAAGGGAAAAATTGACAAAGGGCTTTAAATATTAACATTAACATAAAACTTTAATGTGCTATAACATCACAGAAGATGCATAACTTATATCTACTCACGAAGAAACAATCAATAAATCCAACTTGACTTATTTTCTCCAAAACAACTTGCATGTACTCTTCAAAAATGCCAGTGTCACAAAAGGCAATGAAAACTGAAAAATAGTTTTATATTAAAGGTAATTTAAAAATATGACAACTGGATATACTACATGATCATGGATCAGGAGAAAAATAGCATTAAAACTTGGGGGACATTTGGCAAAATTTAAAATGTGAAAATATGTTAGCTAACACCATTTTATCAATTTAACCTTTGTGCATTTGATAGCTTGTGATTATGTACTAGAATGGCCTTTTTTGAAAATATTAATGGATTAAGAAATATTAAAGCGTGAATAGTCAGGATATCTGCAATTCAGTCTCAAATAATTCAGCAACTGACAATAATATGTACATATGTACAAGACTCTCGCTTTGTTACCCAGGCTGGAGTGCAGTGATGTGATCTCGGCTCACTGCAACCTCCTCCTCTCATGTTCAAGAGACTCTCCTGCTTCAGCCTCCCCAGTAGCTGGTATTACAGGCATGTACCACCACGCCAGGCTAATTTTTGTATTTTAATAGAGAAGGGTTTTCGCCATGTTGGTCAGGCTGTTTTCAAATTCCTGGTCTCAAGTAATCCATTCACCTCAGCCTCCCAAAGTGCTGGAATTACAGGCGTGAGCCGCAGTGCACAGCTTGTTTTTGAAATTCTGTAGCCTTGATATTTTAAAAAATAATATGTTGGAAAAACTAAAGTTTGACATGGTTCTAAAAATTTGTTAAATAAATTATTTCCTATAATTTATATATGTATTATCTATGTTTTGCAGCCATTAAAGTCAGTTTTCATATAGCAGGAATAGGACAGTAAAACTGAATTTCCCTCTAATTAACCTAAAGAAGTCATTCAATTATAATAAAAACAACAGATTCCTTTTTACAACTTGAGCAATCAAATATTAATATTTGAGAAAAAGGATATAAAGAGTTGCATTAGCCATGCTTGTAAGTACACAGTCTTAGACATATTATTATTAATAAAACTTACAGGTTTTACAAGTAGAAAACCAGTATGTGTACTGAAAATGTGTCCCAGAAAATTATGAACTATGCCAAAATGATGTTAGAAGCAGAATAGTCTTTAAGTGTTCATCTCTTCTTTGATTAAAGTACCCAGCTTTTTTTCAGTATCAGTAAGTCAAAGCGTATCTTGAAATCACTCTTAATCGTTTACATTTAACACTTTGTTGTTATATTCGGTAATAGCCCACATATTATTATCAACATTTTAAATTCTATTTCTATAAAAAGATTAAATAACTGATATAAATTTTACTTTCAAATTTCTATGACCCCTCCTTGCTTCTAATGTAGAAAGAAGGCATTTTCCTTTCAATTCTAGGTACTTCTGAAACTCTACTTCAAAGAGCATATTTTGTAATTTAATTGTTGAAATCTTTATCAATCCTCAATGATTGAGATGGTATTAAAAGCTCAACCAAGCACTAAAATATCCCAAAAAAAAATTCCCAATTACATATTGGCCACATAGGTCAGTTTATAAGCAATCACTTTATAATAACAAATGGAAAATAAACTTAGTTACTGAAATAATGTAGCCTAGAATTAAGAATTAGTAAAGAAACCAAAGTGCTTGTAATAAAAATTTGAAGTGAAAACATTCATAATTCATGACTGTTCAACCTAGATAGGCCCTTGGAGATCATGTCAACAACCATTTTAATTTACGATTAGGAAATCAAAGCCACAAAAAAGTTAAAAGGTGTCCCCAAGATAATATGGGAAGCTGTATAGTAATAGAGCAAAGGCTAGAATACGGATTCTTGGTGTTCTTACTGCCTCATCATCTAAACTTGTTTCTCAATTTTTCAAATTGCAGATGGATGCAAAATAACAAATACCTATTTGGAAGCTGGATAGTTATGCCTCCTTTTATTAGGAGAAAAACCCAAGTATAGTAAGACCAAACATGTAAGGATTAGTTCTGGTCAATGAGATCACCTACATAATATACAAACAGCTTACCTTAATGAGAATTTGTTCACTAGCCGTTGGAGAGGTCTCTCTTCTTTTCACATCTAGTAAGTGAACGAGAGAATGGACCGTCAGTCCATACAAAATGACAAAGCAAAATCCACATCTCCTTCTTACCAAATTAGTACTTAAATATGTCCCTGGTGTGGGGGGCGCGTGTGTGTGTGTGTGTGTGTGTGTGTATTGTGTGTTTTAATCTGGAAATGATCAGAATGGAACTTAGAACATTACTGTGAAGTCCTAATAAGGGAAAAGGAGTCAGGCTGGTGGGATCAGAGGACAGAAAAAAGAAAAAGTAGATCAGCTAGAAGTCTGATTTTCTTCATGGTCCAGGACATATAGCCCTCCTACACAAATAATTCACAATTTTTCTGCACCCAACTATCACCAGACACCTTGGCTGATAGAAAAATGCAAGTCAGCTCACTGTTACCTTGGCGTTATCATTACAGTATGTAGTCCTCTCTGGCACAAGTACCATTCTATAAAATCTCCAGCAAGCTTTTGTCTCTTTGCTGTCAGCTCCTCTCTTTCTGGTCTTCCCACTGCTTTCTTGCAACATATTTTCCTACTTTCTCTAATAAATCTCCCTTTCTTTACCTACAACTGTATTGGTAAATTCCTTTACCACCCCCATCACCCATCTCAGATAGTCGCTACCCATGAGAATTATCTTAAAATTCAAAGGGATTGATCAGTATAAACTAATGCCAAAGGAAAGTGCTGTGATTTTTTTTTCTCACAGAGATCAATGGGAATATATATATATATGTAACAAAAACACTAGGTAGGATAAAATATAAAACAAAAGTTTACCACTATGTTTCAAAAATAGAAGTTCTTAAATCACAGAGCCAAAATGCTGTAAGAGATTTTCATTTTAATGTCTGCCAATTTCCTCAGGCATATCATTTTGTCCTTATTATTCATTATATATCAAAATGGGATTACACTCCTAATGGTATGTTACTTTAAATTTGTCTTAAGGATGACGACAAAAGAAGCAAACATTCAATATTAATAGCCATTCATTAAGCTTTGCCACAAGATTTATTGAGCGTGTATTACGTGCCAGATTCTATATTAGGCACTGGGGTTACAATAGGGAACTAAAGTCGAATGGGTCCACAAGCTTGTAAGTCTTATAACATAGTGTAATGTCTCAGGGAGGTAGCTATTAGTGAAATAATTACATTAATGAGCAAATAAATACAAACTGAATAAGTGTTCTGAAGGAAATAAAGCAATTTTATGAGAAAGCAATACATTTTAAATTGAAGGTTAAGTAAAGTTTTCTCTAAGGAAGTGACACTTGAGCTAAGATCTGAAGGATGAGTGACATTAACTGCATGAAGGGGAATAAACCATTTTAGGCTGATGGAGTAGGATTGGTAAGGCTTTATGGTAGGAGAAGGAATGACACATTAGAGCAACTAAAATCCTTTTGTGGCTAGGTTGTAGAGTACATGAGGATTATATTATTAACAGAACTGAAGAGATAGGCTGGTTAGACTGCATAAAGCTTATCAGGTCATGTTATTTTTTTATTTACTTTTTACTAAGACTAATGCTTAGCAAAAAGTAAAGAAAGTAGATAAAGTATTTCAGCCTTTGTTTTTAGTTGTTGTCTTTTTAGTGACATGTGGATGGATAGTTGAATAAATTCAACTATCTCCAACAGAAATATACAGAAAAATAAAACTGAAATGGTTTGATCAGATTTGTTTCAAAAAGATCACCCTAGCTGCAGTGTTTTAAAAATGTGCTGAAAATAAGCCATAATGAATATGAGAAAAATATTTAGGAGGCCATTTTAGTATCCCAGGTAAGAGATGGTGATACATTAATGGCAGAGGAGATATAGAAGAAATTGACTTAGTGACCAAATTAACATAGAGGAAGGCAGTGTCACAGAGATAGCGGTATAAAGATGATGCTAAGATTTCATATTTGAGCAAATGAGTAGGAGGTGGTAAAACTAACCTAGCTGACGTAGATTCAGTGTAGGAATCAAGTTGGCAGAGAAAATCAAAAGTTCAATTTTGGAAATAAAAACTGTAAGATGCCTAAGGTATATACAAGTGAATATGTCAAAAAGATGGTTATCTATATATGTTAGCATTCAGAGGAGATATTTGGCCTGGAGATATATATTTGTAAGTCATATGTGTATAGTCAGTAAATAAAGTTGTGTATGGATATGGGTGAGGTCTTCAAGGGGAGGAAAAATTGAAAAGAGGAAAGGATCTAGAGTTAATTCTTAAGGAACTCCAGCAGTTAGTGATACAGTAATGAAAACAAGCTTTCAAAAGAGACAGCAAAAGAGGAAGCAGAGAGGTAAGAGGAAAATAAGAAAGTGGGTTGTCAAATAAAGATAATATTTCTAGAAGGTAAGAGACTGAGTCATGTGAAATGCTGCTGAGAGCAATACTAGGTGGGAGGCATTTTGTGTTGTCACAATGGTGCCTACTACTGGCATTTAGAGGGCAGGGGTCAGGAACGCTAAACAACAAAGAATTGTCCTGCCCAAAAAGCCAATATTGACCCCATTAAGAAGCCCCTTGCTATGGTCTCAATGTCTCCTCCAAAAGTTATGTTGAAACTTAGTTGCCACTGTGATGATATTAAGAGGTAGAACCATTAGGAGATGAATAGGTCATGAGGGCTCTGCCCTTATGAATGGACTAATGTCATTATTGTGGGAGGGAGTGTGCTATCACGAGAGTGAAGTTTTGTAAAATTGAGTTTGAACATCTCTGTCTCTCTCACTCTTTCTTTTCTGCCTTCTGCCATGAGATTATGAGCCTAAAGGCCCTCACCGGATGCCAGTGCCATGCTGTTGGACTTCCCTGCCATCAGAATTATAAGCCAAATAAAAACTTCTATTGTTTGTAAATGACTTAGTCTCAGTGCTAACACAAAACAAAGTTAAACACCCCTCATTCTGAGGATCAGAAAACCAAAAACAAGAAATTTTCTAATGCCAATGAAGTTTTACAGAATTATGACTCAAGTTCAGATTGCCTAATTCTAAATCCATGCGCTTCTACTATATCATAACAGCTACTCAAGAATGAGATGATATGTGAAATTCAAAAAAATGTTCCTAAAGTAGTCAAAGTCAAACTGATTAAAATAAAACATCTTAACATATGGAGAAATCCTATATTTTATATTTTTAGTGTTCTCTGGGAATGGGAGAGGTTAGCATTTTAAATTGTCTTCTCAAATTTTTGTGCTGAGAGGCAACTTTACTATATTTTTAAATGTGATTATCCAGTTCCCTGATTATCTATATAAATGAGCATATTGCCTCGTCTGCTATCAATAATGATAGGAGACAAATTCAAAAGTATCAGAAGTCTTATATTTAACATTTTTATAATAATTATACTGATTAGGTCACAAACTTACAGAAGCCAAAGTCAGTGTTTATTCTGTCTACTTCTATATTTCAAGCACTTTGCATGCTACTCAGAAAATAGTTGTTGCTCAATAAATATTTATAGAATATATCAATGTTAAGTAACATAATAATAAAGTGAAATAATAGATGTGAAAGCATCTTAGCACAGTGTCATGCAATTGTGTAGCCTAGGTAAAACTTATCTTCTAATCTGGCTCTTAATTCACAGTGGCAAAGGCTCATTTGAATTACACTTATCCTTATAAGATCAGAAGAGAGAGAGAAAAAGTTGTACAAACAGCTCCTGTTTACCAAGCAACTGCTATTTCTACCAGACTTGATCCACAGGCTCTGAGTTTTCCCTTGGGAAGAGGCTCTCAATTCAAAGTAAGGAGAAGGATAGGGGTGATACATTCTATATATAACATAATTCACTATTAAAGACATTTGACTACCATTATATGTCATTTTGAGGGTCCCAACATAATTTATATTTATTCTTAAATCCTTAATTAAAGAGATTAACTGACCACATAGTCTGAATTCATTTAATACCTAATTTTAGGGATACATGAGCACACTCAGGTAGCTCTATAGTAAATGGAATACAAGTTATGCAGACTTTAAATGCATACTTAACAATACCATTAAATAAACTATCAGCAAGGGTGAGTGATGAGTGATGTTTGCTGCTTCACCTTCTGTAGACAGAGAGAAGAGAAAGTAAGAAAGGGCTTAAGAAAGAAAAGGAAGGGAGAGAAAAAATGGAAAGTTATAAATTGTCCAAAGTATTGTTTTGTTTTGGGTTTCTAAATCAAAGTATGATTGAATTAAAATTAATTGAAGGAATTGAAATTTGCCCTAGACTTTATGTGTGGGAACAAGGACTTTAAGGAGGAAATCTATCAGCCTAGGTAAAAAAAACCTGAGGCGTTATATGAAAAAAAGAAAAAAATATCTGCGAATAAACAACAAAACCAACTGTTTTCAAAGCATTTTGAAAATGCGTCCTTATAAAGTTGTTATTTTGCGTTTGTTTCAGAAATGTGGAAGGAAGCAGTTAATAACTTCCAATGTTAAGTTTGAAATTTAAAAAGAAACTAAAGGCGTCCTAGCCCTTCATCAGCTCTTCAATTCTCTGAAATGACAGAAATGTCTTACTGTGGCTCCATTTTTTTTTTTTCTTAAATGCACCAAAAGAGCATCTTGCCCCAAGAGCTTTCTTTCCAATTTGGAACTACGCAATTTTTTGTAAATGCATTTGAATTGCCCAGTCAGGGGATCATCCTATTCACTTGGTTTCCATAAGTAATTTTGCATAATTCTTGCTTTTTAGGTGACATTTGAGTTGTGAGATTTTACTAAATTCATTCTGACATTTGAAAAATTATCATACAATTCTTTCATGTGATAGAAGCACATCCTTTTAACCACGCTTATCACGGGCAAAAAGCTTCCCAGTGCAAGGAGGTCTGCTAATGACCTGGTCTTTTAAAAGGCTGACTCCTTATTTCCATTTTTAAACCAATTCACATTACTTTCCATCTTTACTTCCCTTAATTCATTTCACTCACTCTACCAGGGATAGGTCAAAATTAATGCTTCTAAACACAAAGCTGTCAAACCAGCAAGATTCAG